GGGATTTCTATAGCCTGAGCGCTAACAAAGAGCCTGTGACTTCCAATCTGCCTGGGGCTCCTGTCTGCTGCTCTGTGTACTTTTGAAGACAACATATATTCAAAAACAGAGAGGGGGGCAGAAATAAAGGGACCGGGATAACAACAAATTCAGATTACAGTCTGGGTACCTGCGTTTCCTGTTTCTGAGTGGCTCCCGTCGCAGCTACAATTCTTAGTTTCATCTGCTTTACAGAGGTACCCTCGGCAACCCTTAATCTCAGAAGAAGCTTTTGAAAAACAAAGCCAGTAAGTTAGGTAGGATTTGGACATGTACAGGCATTATAAGAACCAAACTCTGTCATGTCAGCAAGGGATGCTGCCTGAGTGTGTAGGCAGTAGGAGGCAAGTAGGAGAGAAAGAGCACTCTGTGAGCTGATAAGAGAGGTTTAAGGATTTGGCACTGAGCAAACCATTAGAGGAGAAGGACTCATTTCAGAACAGCAGAGTGAGAAATCATGGCCAATGCTGTTCCTGCCCTAATGAACTGACCACTGCTGGAATTGGTTATCTCAGGATGGTGTTGAAAACCATATAATATGATGGACAAGACGTTTTAGGTGTTGTAAGAAGGCACGAGTGACTCTTGCTGACACTGATGCTCCAGAAGGTCTGCACATGTTTCTCCTTTTCTCTCGCATAGGAGGCAGGAGGAAGGATACAAACTAGCAATATTCAGCCTGCTGTTTCAGACTCACTGACATGAGTCCAGGCTGTTTGTACCTTCCAGCCCTCATTACCTCAGCCTCGAGTGCCTCGCCTCCTCTCCTCTGCTGCCATCCACCAGCAAGGGTGGGTGTGTGAGGTAGGGGCATCCGGACCAGAGTGGGGAGGCAGGCAGACAGCTCATGTAGAAAACAGTTTTGCAATGCTTAGATCCTGCAGTTTTTTCTTTCCCCCTATTGTTAAGTGGCATTGAGCACCAGCAAAACAGGAAACCGCTTCCTCCAGCCGCTGACCCAGCGAACCCAGGGCAGCTGCTGGCTGTGCAAAGTGGCCTCCCCACACCAACCTGTTCCTAGAAAGTGTCTGGACATTTGGAGGAGCGCTAGAGAAGCACATGAAGTGCAAGTAAAGCTTGAATAAGCTTGAATAAGCAGGTACCCTTGGTAGCTCTAATGAGAAGGGAGTCATACTGAAAATATCTGCTGGTAACAGTCAAAACTGTCTCTGTTTTTCCAAAATTAGAGCTTCTAGAAGTGAGAGCAATAATGTCTAAGCCAATATCTGTCACTTCACTCATTTGGTAACTGACTTGACTGTCTCTTTGTTGAGATGTGCAGATCTTGTATCACACATCCTTACCCGAGCGAGAAGAAACTATTGTTTTACAGGCACTGCAGCTTGTGCTGTGATCCTTAAATCTCAGAAGTTCAGCCAGGTCTTGCTTTGCTGGGCACCCTCAACAGAGGCAGGAAACAGTGCTGGTGAGGTGGTAGGTGACCCCTTTTTTCCTGAGACAACACCACCCCTCTGTATTAAGAGAATATATGCTGCTTGTGTTTCTGTCTTTCTGACGGGACTGCAAACAGAGGATAGCAAAGACCTTGTGGCTCTTTTTTTAATTACACATCCCCAGCTGATTTCTAATATCAAGGACAATGTTGTCCTCCCTGGTGACGTTCTGTTGACCTAGAATTCCCATTGACATTTGTTTTGTTTTGTTTTGTTTTTAATATGGTGTGATATTCTTCATTCTGTCCCTTAAAGACTTACACAGTTAAAAAAAAATCCTGTAACCTCACTGGTAATGTCTAGTGGAAATTCTTCATAACTGCATTTCTGTCTTTTTGAAAGTAGGGCACATCGATGTGCAAGAAATGATGCTCAACTCAATCTCTGTCACCTCATTACTCTTGAGCTCCAGCTTAATTACGTCCCTGATGCCTTGCACAGCTCTTAACCAGACATTCTGTGCCTACTTAGAAATCAGCCATACAGAATGAAGTGATGACTATATACCCTCTTCCTGCTGGAGAGATGAGGTGTGAGGTTTGGTAAATATAATTTCTAGAGCACCCAGAAGGTGCATCGTATTGTATAGGCCTGATCCTGCACCACTGGAGTTCACAGATGACTTACAAAGATCCACTGAAACCACACAGAGAGCTCAAATCACAAAACCACGGTGCCGTGCTCTTGGCCATGCAGTCTCTATCTAGTTCACGTCTGTGTGTGCAGTGCAGTGTCACTTCCCAGCAGCAGTCACAGCAGGCAGCTGCCACCAGAGAGGCTGCTAGAGGAGGGCAGCAGCAGGGACAAGACAGGACAGCTCAGCTGTGTTACCTTACAGGTGCACTTCTTCAGAACACGCTGTTCTTACACTCCACTTGCTCTACTCACACATGAAAGTTACTGAGAGCAAGGTACCTTCAAAACACAGTGTGGATGTTCAAACTGCATATATCTTTTTTTTTTTTTTTTTAACCTGTTTTCCTGCAGTATTTTGCACTGGTTTGGGAGTCTGTGAGACTGTCTTTTGCTGTCCTTCAAAACTAAACACATACGGTGACATGTTGCTTCTTGTCCCTAGGCCCTTTCTTATGCTCTGGGTGTTAAGTGAATTGGCTCTTCAATTTCACTGTTTCCAGAAGTGTGTTGTGCACTACAACTTTATTCATGGATTCAGTACATATCTGCCATTGCAGGCTTTCCCTAGTGAGCACAGATGATGCCATCACTTGTACAGATGACCAACTCCACATCTGGGCTGCTTTTCTTTTGGCCTATTTCCCCCCCATTTTTCTGTGGGATGGGGGCTCGTTACAAAACCATTTTGAGCATATGCGAGACACATAACAATATGGTAAGTATACATCCCTTGTCTTCCTTGACAGGGAAGCTTTCTAAAATATGGATGGTACTTCAAAACCATGAAGCCCTTTTCCAACAAACAATCTTTTTGTCTCACCCAGATAGGCTTCAGTTTGCACTACAATAGTAATATGGTGCATTAGAGTTTTAAGAAATTTACCCATACCTATTTTCTAGTCTTCCTCACAAAATATAAGTCACTATTAACATTGCTATTACACAATGAAAGTCAGTGCCTGTTGAACTCAAGGGTTTACTTAACCTATCTTCGAAACTCATTTTGTGTAAATATAATATGATATTAAATAAAATAGGACAGATTCACTAAGATGAACAGAAATATTTGGGAAAGAGCTCAGAGTACATGAACTTGCTCCTAACATGAGATAGAACACCTCCTGTTTCTTGAGGAGAGCTCTTTGGAAGTTGGCCTTCTCACGAGGAGCTCAGCAGCTTTCCGGTGGCATATCATGGTCTCAGAAAGATCTTTCTAAAATGCCTTTAGTTCTCTGTTGGAATTTATAAGGTATTCAGAATGTCTCTCTTTTTCTTACCAGCTGATCAGGCAAGCAATACTGCTCTGTGCCTCTGTATCTATGTTCTTCAACAGGTCTCTGATCATCATCCCTTTGTATGCCCTTTGTTTCTTTTTACAAGGGCCACTTATAAAAAAGGTTAAGACCCAGTCTCAGGACTGACATTCACCTCTACAAATGTAACCCAGTAATCACTTTGTTGAAAATCCACCTAATGCTAGAAAAAAGAATAACTGTTCATGCCTCTTGTTAAAACTTTTCTTTATTTCTCTGGCACAGAGGGTGTTTTGATAGCTATTCCAGGGTTAACAGCCTTTCTGCCCAACCAGCTGCTGTTAAACGTTGGCTCTGGAAGGCTTTTCCTTTGCCCATTAATCTCAGATCTGGTGAGGCCAGTAAGGCAGTGAGGTGTGCATCTCTGCTTTTACAGAGCTAATGATAGACTTGTAAGGGGGGGAGGCTGTTACTGGGGTTTTGCTCTAACACTGACTTTTTCCTGCACATAGCTATACTTTGACGTGGTATGCTTGAACTTACAGATCAAAGAGAATTACCAGAATGATCCACTTGTGAATTGTGGGCCATTATCTGTTATTAACTCATCTTGAGCACTGTGGTGAGCAAACTGTAATTTACAGTATGTTATTACATTTCTGCTCACTGTGGTGTGCGGCAGCTGAATGTGTGTGTGGTAGTCCATAACGAGAAGTAATCTTTGCTGGCTAATTCAAATAGATCTTTGCCAACCTCCACTAAGGTTGATCAAGAATTTAATTTACTTCTAATAGTTTTGTTTTTCTGCTTCCTGCCCCTCCCACCACATTTAGAAGAGGAGAAGGTTTCACCCTCTCGTTTTCTCTTCAGTACATGCTTGCTTCCAGGAAAACTTGGAAGCGCAGCAACAACCTCCTCCAGTTCTCTGCCAGATTTCCTTCAGGATTTAATGATTCAGGTGGCTTCATTTGCTAAATTTTTGCCAAAAAAAAAAAAAAAGAAACTAGTTCTCCACTGACACCATATAATAAAGTCGAGCAAACAGGAGGGCTGGTAGGAGACTTATTTTTATTGCCTAGCCCTGGTCACATGACAGATCAGGTTACAAAATACTAATACCCCTGCCAACTCTCAGGATCCACCAATTCCTCTTGCTACTGTTTTAATCCAACCTGTCTTTTCTGTTCTTTTTTTTCCTTTTTTACCCCCTTTTTTTTCCTGAGGGCAGGGAGTGAGGGGAAAGCCATTAGACTGGGGCAGGAGATAGAGTGAAAAGTGAGTATATCATGGTTGGGAGTATCCCTTTAGCTCCTTCAGTGTTTGTTCAGCACTTTTTCGCCAGCTGAATAGCTTATTCCCTCCGAGTGTTGGCAGCCTTTGGCAAAAGTAAAGCAATGTCAGCATTCCCCTGTTCCATTTATTTTTTGGAAAGGAGTCGTTAAAAATGTTCCATTTTCACCTTGTTTGCAAGTTGTGATTAAGGCTTCTCCTCCAATTAAATTGTGACATTCTGGCTTGAAAAACAGCTTCAAGATCTGGAAGATAAACTAACACACACACATGCATGCAAAAAAAAAAATAAAATCCTCCTTCTTTCTTGTGGAAAGAAATTCAGCAGTTCAGTGGAGCCACTTCTTTTATTAGCAGTGAGACAAATACATTTTCAAAAAAATTGCTGATAAAACAACAGATTTGAAAAATGTAAACTTTATGCAACTCTCTGGAGTTCTTCACAGTGGTTTCCCCTTTGTCCCTTCTTCCAGCATAAAACAGAAGCAGACATTTGGTGTCATGGGTTCCTGCAAGGAATCTACCTGGATAGGTAAATGCCATGCATCCTTGTACAGTCTCTGATGCAGTAGCTACGCTGCTACTGACACCCCAGCTACATCAAGGCGGGCACAACTACAGCCATGATGTCCTGAAGGGACACTTTGGCAAATGAAGTAGCACCTAATAGAGAGGTGAGAGTTTTGTGCAAAAGGGAAAAAAACCCTCTGTGGTGCTCATCCCACAGGCACTGATGCTTTTTGTTATGTAAAAGATTTAGATAATAACTACATATGTTTCCCCACCTTTATGAAAGAAGAGTTGTGGCACAGGGAAGTTAGGAGACCAGTTAATGGCAACTCATGGTGAATTCGAGTCAGAATTCAGGTGAGAGTTGTAGTCCCTGTGTTTCAGCTATGAGACCACCCATCGTCTCTTTTGGCAAGCATGAGTGGAAATGTACTTCTGCCTTCCAGTGTCTGTGACCATGGTAGTTTCCAAGAGGGAGTATGTTGCAATTGTTTTAGTTTTTCCATTTCTGCTCTTCTTTCACAAGTTGCCTGTAAAAATCTGCAACGCTCTTACATTGTCTATGTTCAGAGCTTTCTTGAAAACACGACCCTACTCTGATTCCTGACAAAATAACCTCTTGCAGTGAGTTTGTCATGACTGCTCCTGCAGTGAGGCAGGGTTAGAGGAAGTACGTGTAAGCAATGACTCCAAGAATCCACCCATCTTCACTTGTTGTGGCAACTGACTGTAAGCTGGTAGGGGCAGGGACCATCACTTTCTACAATTCTACAAGGCTTTGGTGTATCAGTACTTCCAACCACAGCACTGACAGTGTCCCCTTAGAAGGCCCGTTTTCAGAAGACTTGACATACATTCCGTAGTTTTTTATGAGATTTTTAATGCTATGAGAAACAATGGAATTTATTTTGCTGAAGTCTTTCCTCCTCAACTGCAAGTAACACAAGTGCAAAAACATCAGGAGGACAATACCATCCACAGTAAGGGAAAGGTAGTGTTGGATCCCTACACTCCCTTCGACTCCAACATAATGGAGTTACCTCAATAACCTGATAGATTTTGGTAAACCATGGCCATGTTGTGATGACCTGCTTCTTGGGTATTTGTTTCCTTGTTCTTCAGGCAGTTTCATTTCTGTGTGTGCAATCACAGCACCCTCTACTGCCTCCCGCTTACCCTGCAAAAGGACAGAGAATAATTGTGAACTCTAAAAAAAGACTAGGCTCTGATTATCTAGTGTTGTTTTGTATATTAAACAACACTCCCACCATGAGAATGATAACGCAAGAAGGTATTTTAGTTCTGTCTAGAACAAGACCACAGACCAGAGCTCATAAATGAACAGGATGAATTCCTCAGGGGCTCAAGCACCTATGAACCCGAGAGCAGCTTTCCCCTTTCATCTGTATGCAAGGCACAATCTTTCACTTTTGTTAGGTCCACGGAGGAAAAAGAAATCTATTTTCCTAGTGAGAAACACAAAAAGGCAGTAGATCACACGCTATTTCCGTGTGCTCCGCGTCGACTAACCCGGGCCTGACTGAAAACTCCCCTTTCCCAGAACCCGTCCCTCAGGAGCTTCAAGTGTTAGGGATGCGAAGCGCCCTCTCGCCCCTGCCAGACGCAGGTTTCTTGTACAAGTCCAGGGATCTGGCTCGTTTAGTCTCAAATCCCACCCTTCAGCGCCAGCCGCGCTCAGCAGAGCGCTTGGCACAGGCCGCTTCGGCACTTCCCTGGGGGTCCCGGCCGCTTTCCAGTGCCCGGGCGGAGGCCGCGGCACGTGCGGCTGCAGCCGCGCCCGGCGGTGCCAGAGGCGGTGCCAGAGGCGGTGCCAGAGGCGGTGCCAGAGGCGGTGCCAGAGGCGGTGCCAGAGGCGGTGCCGCCCCGTGAGCGCCCCCCCCGCCCCGCTGACGTGGCGCTGCCGCTGCCCTGCGCCTGCGCGCGCGTTGGTTCCGGCGCGGGCAGGATGGTGCTGCTGGAGAGCGAGCAGGTGCCGGGCCGGGCGGCGCCGGGAGCGCGGGGCGAGCTCCCTGTGCCGCCGCGGGGGCACCGAGGGAGAGGAGGAGGGTGGGAAGGAGGAAGAGGGGCCCGCAAAGCCCAGCGGCGGCCCCGGCGGCGGGGGAGCCGCTGCGGGGGAGGGGAGCGGAGCGGAGCAGGGCGAGCGTCGCTGTGCCCATTGACTCGGGCGGGGCGGAGGGCAGGAGCGCCGGGGCCGCGGGAGGTGCGGGGAGCTCAGATCCCGTGTCCGGAGTCAGAGCCGCGGACCAGGCCGGGCCGCCCCTGGCTGCGGCCTTGTGTCCTGCAGCTCCGGCGTGGGGAAAGCCGGGAGCTCGCCTTCCCTCGGCGCTGGCTCCTGCGGCATGGAGAGCCTGGGGCGAGGCAGGGGCTGCGCGGGGAGAGGGGCTCGCCGTTGTGTGGTGCTCCCCAATCACGGTGGGGTCTGTTTTCTCTTGCAGTTTCTGACGGAGCTTACCAGGCTGTTCCAAAAGTGCAGAACTTCCGGGAGTGTTTTCATAACGCTGAAGAAATGTAAGTTTTGAATCTGGTACTGGACTAAGGAGGTGTTCCCCTACACCTGATTGAGTGTTGTCAGCAGGTATTTTAAAAGATATAGTTGTAATCCAGGGTGTCTGGAAACAAGAGCAGTCATAGGGACAAACCAGTCAGCTGGTGTACTGATGGTACTGCCATTAGTAGTATTAATAAACTTTGAGTAAGGCTGTATTTCAGAGTGCAGGAGATATGGGACTTTCTGATTGCCAAACAATAATTGAAAAGCACTACATTTCTATACAAGGAGAATTCCAGTGTTGCTTTGGTCTGTTCATGTTCCTCTGGTTCCTGGCTAGCTGGCACTACTTGAGAGGCCCTGTGTGGGAGGTAGCAGGATGACATGCACTTAAAGCACACTGCTGCTGGAGCAGGTGGTTCATATGGCATGTCAGGGTGAGGATTTACTTTATTTTTTCTGGCAGATGTAGCTCATGGAACAGATCCTTCTGGGGTTACAGAGTAAGAGGTCTGTGAACAGTTTGTCAGTTCAGATGGCCTTGAATTCCAAGGTGTTTTACAGATCATGAGCATGTTTTTAACATCTAATGTCAGAAGGCATCTCTTGATTGTAGCGAAATACAGATAAACATTCTCTTTCAATACAGATGATGGCCGAACAAAACCAGTCCCACGCAAAGGCCACGTAGAAAGTTTTGAACCAGCAGACAATAAGTGTCTTCTAAGGGCAACTGATGGAAAGAAGAAAATTAGCACAGTGGTAAGTGACAACTTTGAGTTAAAAAGATTAGTGGCCTTATGGATCTTTGATTTAATGCTCTGTATTTTAAGTAAAATTTCAGAAACCGTTAACTAGAAGTTGAAAACCTGATGTGTGTTTACTTTGAATGAGGGATTGGGAAAGGATTTAGCTGACCTTAGCTCTCCTCTGTGATGTGAAAAGGAAAAATGTTACTTTGAGAAATGGTTGAGCGAATCTGGGCTGCAGTGCTTTTATGGCCCTACAAGTTAATCAAACCTTCCTCTGAATGTTCCTTCACATTCTTCCCATTTGAAAACACATGGATTAGGGATGAATGGCCTCTAGAGGATTTTGTTAATCAAGTAGCATTTTCAGCTTTCTAAATGAGCGAAGTCTTATATCAGTCCAGCCTATTGGCCACTGAATGTAATGAGTGGACCCAACTGCTGCTAGAAAGACTATATGCTATCTGGTGGATAAACATGTAGCGATACTTGGTTTGTAATGCAAGCCAGAGTTTTCTTGGTTAACCTTCAGTATTACTTTTTTAGGTGAGCTCAAAGGAAGTAAATAAATTCCAGATGGTAAGTTTTGTATGCCTTTTATCTTCCCTTTCTGTAGGTATTGTTAATGGTCAGCTGGAAGCACTGCACAGCTGTGAATAGGTTGATTCTGTGCTGAACTGCTATATAGATTAACCTTAGACTACTCATCCATCTGCATTTGTTTAAAAAATAGTCTTTTATTTTATCTGACTTTGTGCATTGGTTTAGAAACAGTATGTTCGCAGTGCAGGGTGTAAGAGCGTTATTCTGAGAAAATGCAGATAACTATCCCTTAGTAGTATGTCAAATGCTACTTCTCACATATTGTCATTTAAATATTTGGGTTTTTTTAAATGGTTCCAATTGTTGTTTCAGGCATATTCAAATCTGCTGAGGGCTAACATGGATGGCTTGAAGAAAAAAGACAAGAAAAGCAAAACCAAGAAAAGTAAAGCAACACAGTGATGGAACAGTGTCCTACCATCACCATAACAGACTTTACCCTCACTCAAAGCAAAGTCCATTTCTTTTTGAGTTACCACTTGTCTTTGGCTTTCCTTCCAGCAGGATACTGGGATATGATCAGTACTTTTGTTTAACCTGACAGCAGAGGTGCTTTCTTTGGATTGTGGTGTGGCAGGAGTATGTACAGTGTTATACTAAAATAGTTTTAGACTCAGAAGTTTTGTACTTACACTGCTGCTGTTTGTAAAACCTGTTTGGGGGGTAACACAGGGTGAAGAGAAATGCACCATACCATAAACAAAATAAGACTGGAGGAGGAGCCCCAGTGACAGATGCCTAGTTTTATACATGAGCCTCAGTAATAACAGGGAAAGCAGGTGCCAACGTATTATCAGGAACAGCTGCTTTCCTGTTTGTGTGTCTTAATCTGAGGGACATGTCTACATGATGCAGTGTGGATATCCTTAAGGCAGCCAGCACAGTGCTCGAGCTCTTGTAGAGCCAGGCAGCTGTGCCTTCACTCCATGCCGATCCACCTGTGCTGTCCCTGGGTGGGGGGAGGGTAGGACTTTGCATCGTGTTCCCTTCAGACATGGCTTAAAAATGCTCATGTCATCTAAACTTTTATTTTTTTTTAAACTTCATCCTTCAATATATTTGGGGATCTGAATTTTCCTTCCTTCATATGAGCAGATGTAAAAATACGTAATTGTTCCTATTAAACATAATGAAAAACGGATTTGGTTGTAATGACTTGTCTTGGTGAATTACTAGTAATGGTACAGTTATCCGTGCCTTTAGGATTGATTCTGTTGATGCTGCTTTGGGTGTTGCTGTTACAACTTTCACAGTTCTCAGAAGTTCTTGGGTTTGTCTTTAAAGTTACCTCTTTATATTTTAACTCTGCACTCCTCTTTACTAAAAGAGCAGAGCAGAAATTAGTAAGTAGATATTTCTTAATACAATGAGCCTGCAGTGCTAATGGCAGTCATTTGAGTTAGAAAAGGAAAGAGGGGTAAGCTGTTTAAACAGAAGGTAGCAGGTGGGGAGGGATGGTAAACACCAGTATATTTCCAGAAATCTCTAACATTTCTGCATATTCATTTTGCATATTCACTTTGATGTGAAATACAATGCATAGTTAACTATGGCTGCTGTAATTCATCTTCAGATTCTCAGCTTCATTCTTCCTGATGGAGTTGTGCTACTTGCTTCAAGAAGATAATTATAATATTCCCATCATTACTGACTTCAAACTTAATCTGACAACCCAGGTAAGGAAAGCTAGGTCAAAACTTTGGTTATGCCTCAAGCACATGCAGATTACTCTTAGGTTTAGATCCTGCAGGTCTGAAACAAGTGCTTGCTTCTGTCAGGTCTTCGTCTCACAGAAGCTTGATTTAAATGCAGAAGTACAGACAGGACAAGCATAGGCAGCCAGGCTTGTAACAGCTCTCAGCCTGAAATCTGCCATATTTTATATATAAATTAAAACAGTAGGTTTAAAAAAAAAAACAAACAACAAATCACACCCCAATAGCTTGTAATGCATATTTCAAGAAGGCTCAGTAGCTAAACCTTTTATTACATAAAAATTCTTCAAAAAAGTTTAAAACAGTTTGTCATAGTTGAAGGCAATTTATTCTCCCTAGTTCTTGAACTGAGGTTTCTCATTGCAGTACTACTGTTGCATAAAAGGCAGTCTGAAACTATTTTAAAATATTAGTTTTACACCTGTACAGCTGATTTTTGTAGCATAAGGGGCAAGAATTACATGGTAATACATAGCTGTGGCTATAGTCAGACTCACTCCTTAATTGCCTATAAAACATTTATTTCCACATTTTGACATATTACAGTTTTACATTTGTCATGGTTTAGGAATGGTATTCTCCAATAAGGCTGCTGTGCTTTAGGAATGGTGTTCTCCAGTTTAGTGCTTCCACTGAAACCATGTGCTGCTTGCTTCCCCTTCCCCTCTGGCAGGCTGGAGAGGAGAATTGGGGGCACAAAAGGTAAAGATCACAGGCTGAACTAAGAATAATTTACTGGAAACAGCAATGAGATATGAAAACAAACAGGAACAGCAACAATACTAATGACAGAGGATATAAGAAAGAGGCAAACGATTCCCACGGAAACAATGCCTGACTGCTCCCTCTGCCACGCTATGCTGACCTGGAAGAGACCCCCTTCCCCCTACAGAATAATCTCTGGGTCCTGGCCACACCTCCTCCCCCCTACAGCAAAAATTATCCCTGTCCTGGCCAGAACCAGGAAAATATAAATGAAATTCAATTTGGACACAGAAAAAGGCACTAGTTGCCCATCTTGCATTACTACAGCTTTTTGAAATTCCTTTTGACAAAACACTGTTGTCCATTTTTAAGAGCATCCCATAAAAGATGCCTTAAGTACTAAAACAAAACCTTGTATTCATCTCGGTAACTGTACAGGATAAGTGCAGGAACCCTGCAGAGGAAAGGAAAAAAAGAAAATTTTAAAACTTTGAAACTGCAAGTTCAAAAGTTACAATTCCTGTGACAAATCATCGCAATAAGGTAACAGCAAAGATTGAGTAGAAAAAAATCAGTGAGTCTTTGTTAGGCTGTCACTGCAATTTTCCCCTTCATCCTTTTTCAACTGATCTAGCCTGTTCAGTTTTCATTCAGTGATCTGAAGGCTTATGACTAAGCAGTGCTCAGGCATCAGATGGAAAAGTAAGACTTCAGGGACTGCATTACATTCATACCCAACATTATTTGTATGTAATAATTGCGTTCTGTTGCTCCCAGCCCTGCAAGCCCCAGGGAGAAAAAAAAAAATGCTTCACTTGCTCTTTAGTTGCCATAGTAAATGTTAGCAAACATGAAGGATTTTGGTGCATCTAAGAAAAAGGAACCAAAGTCAGGTTTTAGTCTTATTTAAAGGTTAAGTAGTACATTCAAGTGAAACATAGGTTTAAGAAAATGCATAAATACCCAGGTCTCACTCACTTAACTGTACCAGTACATACAACAGTTGACAATTTGAGGTTTAAAACTGGATGTACTGGATGTGTCCAGATTATCTGGACTATCTGGGTTTCAGCCTTGCCAGAATCCAACAAGGAGACTATGAGTTGGACATATATGCTTTTATGCTTAGAAAACAGAAATGGGCTTTACTGTACATGTTTGCTTGAAGCTGGGCACTCTTAGCTGTGCCTAACTGCTATTGTATTTCAAAGTAGGAGGAATTAAATGTGGTCATGAGTTTTAAAAGGCAAGCTGAGTCTGCTTCATCAGAAAAGAGGGTTTATTATGTAGCAGTAAATATGTGTGTATGTGTATATATATATATACATGCATATATGTATACCATCATATACATACACTATATTTACAAAGAAGTATATCTACTATGTATAGCAATATATCTGACTGCATGTAGTTGTTTGCTATTAAGTTTTATTAACACAGCAGCAAGTGTGATAGAAGTAGCAATACATTTTAGAGTTTCTTGAAAGGGCTTATAAAAATGAAGAATTTACCGGTAAGTGAGGGTTAGATGACCACTAAACTCTTCCCATACTTTTCAAGGAACTATACTGAGTATTTATTTTTGCCTCAGGGAGAGTGGAAAAAGGAGGACAAAGTAGGAGCAGTCTGAATGCAGAAATAAGGTGGTTTATGTACCTGTCCTAAGAGCTTAACAAATTTACCTCTTTTCCATTTTGATACTGTAAATTTCATCACAAATTGCTTGTAAGTATGAACATCTCTGTTTGGGCCATCGTGACATCAGCTGTCTCACAGTAGCATCAAAGGCTTGTCTATCTCCATCAAGCTAAGAAAAAAAATTGACAAGGAACTTGTCTTACATTCTCTTGTGAAGGAACTTCACCGGATAGCATGCAGTCTTCTCAATATTGTGTCATGTCAATGCTCCTTAATTAAACAGCTTTCAAAGATATGAATACCAACAACACCTGCAACTTTATTAAGAATTTAGGGATCAGTTTCTTAACAAATTTTAGTGCTAAAAAGGCATAAGCAATGAAAACGGCTCTATCAATTTTGCAGTGCTGGACAGAATATAATAACTGCGATGTAACGGTGATCAAAAGTGAATGATGCAATCTAATAGTGTGCATATATATTTAATTATTTTTTTTTAACTGAAAGCTGATAAACTATCTCCATGATTTGGGCAGACTGGATGAACTAAATATTTTGAAAATGTCTTGAAATGTTTCACTGGGTTTTGATTACTGGACAAGGACTGCTTCAGAGCAGCAAATGAAAGGTCTGAAAATACTAAATGCACTTCCAGGATGCCATTCTTGAGTTGGTTTTTTTTCCAGGGGTTGGGGAGGCATCCATCTCCCTAGTAAGAGCTTCTGACTTTAAACATAGTGAGTGCTGTCATTGGAGGAAAGAAGAAAGCTTTGCCTTTGTTGTTGTCATCCCCCCTTATCCACCACTGAGCAGTTTCCAAGTTGTTAAAAGGTGCCTATATATTATTTATACATTCGCTTTTTATCTTGGCTTCACTGAGATGTTTCAACTACTGTACTTGAAACAACTGCTTCTGTATTTTGGGTCCTCCTTCATTAACAGCTTCAAGAAACACCTTTGCTGAAATAGCCATTAATGCTTACTGGTTTCTGAAAAACTGCAGTTAAGACTTAATTTCAGTTAACTATTCTTTGGGAAAAAAACCCCAGAGCTTTGGATTAGGACTTCCTAATGCTGTCTTGTGTAACTTGGATATTTGACAAAAAGGTTTTTCTAGTCTCAGTCAAGCTCCTTGGGTAAAAAAGTCCTTTCAAGTTTTAAAACCTAATTCAACCTCCTTGAAAGAAAAAAACTACAATGGGTGAATTTTACATTCCACTTCATTAGGAACAGAATTTATCATCTATTGTTTATAATTAGAGTTTTAACAACATTACTTAATTGCTTACCTCTAATGATAAGAAGTGTATCACAGTTGCTTTTGGCAGATCTACCTGTAAAAATACCAAGAAATCAGTACTTAACAGTTCTCTGTTCAATGAGTTTGCCAAGTGAGCCAGACTTTTTGATTTCCAAAGAAGCACTCATGCTGATGGAACTAGGAATTTACAATAATTTTAAACACAGTGTCCATTATGGAAAGTTCTAGATAGGTGCCAGCAAATAGGCAGTATGCTTCCTGCAAAGCATATACCATTTTAAAGGCCTTTGTGACACTGTTAGTGAAGTCAAAAAACTATATATAGACAGGAGCTATGTCGATTTAAATGGAAGTGCAAATCTAGCAGGAACAAGTTATTAAATATACCACAGTAGTTAGTGTAATTACAGCTTAAGAGCTTACAACTTAATACTTGTTAAATTTTGTTCTATGCAACTGTCCCATACATCCCTTTAATACTTGAAAAGTATTAAAGAAACAGGCCATGGGTCTTATTTAACCAGAAGTTTGATATCTCTAAAGTGAGGCGATTGGCAGTAGTTTGTTCCAGACAGGAACTGCATCATCCATTTCAATTAAAACTTTGGAATAATTCAGGCTTCTGCCAAATACTTACAGCTAAAATGTCAATCTCACTTGTTTTCTGTTGCAGGCTAGAAATGAATGTCTGAAGTCTTGTTTGCACCTGGGAACAAAAGATTGGCAAAATTAAAATACACTGCTTGTGTGACGATGGGTTTTAAGTGCTGATTTTCTATTTCACAGATGAGAACAGGAGAGGCTGCTTCTAACAGAAGATGTAGAACTGT